CCCCACTCGCTGGATAGGTTTGAAGATGATATAGCCCACTGGCATAGCAGCCTACTTCGCCAAATACCTTTCTGAACGGTAGAGTCCGCGGGCATAGTGGCCCCTTGCGCTCGATATATTACTAAATGGTATAGTCTAGTGGCATAGCGGCCCCGTTCGCCAAATATATTTCTGAACGGTAGAGTCCGCGGGCATAGTGGCCCCTTGCGCTCGATATGTTTCTAAATGGTATAGTCCCGTGGCATAGCGGCCCCGTTCGCCGAATGTATTTCTGGATAGTCTACGGGCGAGCGCAAGTTAGTTGTGGAAGCGAGAAGGTCACTGATCTCCTCACCTTCATAGGGTTGCTGCCAACTTAATCTTGGAAGTGACTTGGGGTTGTTCATCAGGCTGTGGTGAGCATCCGCTGAGGAACACAGGAATAGATGTCGCTGCAGGAGTGTGTCTGGCCACCACAGTTGTGTGGTTTCTGATGTTTATTCGCCAACATCCCAGAGTGCATCGTCCGCTGCGAGGGGTCTACAGTTCGAAGCCGGCTCCATTGCAAAAAACCATCATGCATCCTCATAGCGCGCTACTTATGTATAGGAATCGAGGCGGCCACTTGCTGCAGAATGAGGACATTATCACTAGAATACTACTGGTAAGAGTCGATTTATTATGTTCGAGCCGTCTTCAGTCACTGATAACGGTATTTATGATCGGGATCACGTTATCGGATGCCCAGAGTGTTGCTGATGCCGATACGCCTCGCAGAGTGCTGTGAAATTCACAGGAAAATATGAACTTGTGTCATCTTCAGGCGGCTAGAATCCGACCTTCAGACACTGTTCTGGAAATGGGTCCGGGAACAGGGAATATGAGCGTCAAACTGAGCGAGCTGGCGAATCGAGTGGTGGCAATGGAAGTTAACGAAGGGTTGGCTAAGGAGGTTGAAAGACGTGCGGAGATGAAGTTAGCTTATCAATTCTCGTAAAACGATTATGGCATGCTTTCAGAGGAGCCTCAAATATGGAAGTTGTTACGGGTGATTTCAAGAGACTGGCTTTGCCAAGGTTTGACGTTGTCATAGCTAACCTACCGTGAGTGACG